AGAATATTTGTTAACTATTGGAAAACTGGACCAGTAAGCTCTCCGAAAAAAGCTGAATTGTACTGCAGTGATATACCAAACAGGTGTTCAAAATACAGAAAAACCTAGGTGGTACTGATTAATGCGGACATAATAGAATCCCTGCTTTTAGAATGTTTGATAAAACATTTCCTCGTTGAGATGAATTCCCGCAATCTTTTCTCTTTACAATCCCCCATCAAAAAATGTTCAATGGATTCTATGCTAACTTTTTAGACACCTGATACAACCTTTCATTATGATTGATATACTTCCTCATATGAAAATGAAATATGCTGTTACCTGCCAAACATTTTTTTTTGATTCTAGGTTTTATTTTACAGTTCGGATCGTTATTACTTAAGTAATTTTATAATTGTCTAACATTTTTAGTTACTTTATTGGCAGAAGTTTGTATATACGAGATGTGTTTACATGTATTCACCCATTCCTGATGCTTTATAACATCTTGTTATTGTGGATGATTTTATATATTTATATACAAAAGATCATGACCGGTCACACTGGTATGTCATAGTATCATGTGAACTCATAAAAACTATTTTAAATAGTTTAACTTTTGATACTGTCGTCTGTCTGGCTCCCCATATCATTTACATCGCTTCTTTTTATGGCTCAACGATACGAAATTTACTGGATACAAATAAAAGGGCATCAAAGGCAGATATACCTTGAACACATATCTAGCATAATAATCCTTACTTTTTGTATACGGTACGTCACAGCAATGTAAACTAACAAGGCAAGGGTTAAGAAATAGAATGTGATAATTGGAGGTGAACTAGAATGATTTAAAAGGCTTCAAACTCAACAGTAGGACATAAAAAAGAACAACAATCAAATGTAAATTATACTCAAACATTTCACCCCAAATTCAGTATTAAGCTACATAAGTATGTTTTTGGTTTTTTTTGCATTGCAGATGTTTTGACTATATCCTTACAAGAGTTGACATTTTACAGAAGATCAATTCGCACAGAGTAGTCTGATGTCACGGTACAGGCAACACTTCATTCGTTGCCCGTCTTTAGGTCTTTAAGTCCATTCAGGTACATTGTCAATCAACTTGCAATACCATACCTCTTTGAGAACAAACCATTTGCAATACCATACATTTTTGAGGACAGACAACTTGCAATACCATACATCTTTGAGAACAAACAATTTGCAAAAACATACATCTTTGAGGACAGACAACTTGCAATACCATACATCTTTGAGGACAGACAACTTACAATACCATACATCTTTGAGGACAAACCATTTGCAATACCATACATCTTTGAGGACAGACAACTTGCAATACCATACATCTTTGAGGACAAACAACTTGCAATACCATACATCTTTGAGGACAGACAACTTGCAATACCAAACCTCTTTGAGAACAAACAATTTGCAAAAACATACATCTTTGAGGCCAGACAACTTGCAATACCATACATCTTTGAGGACAGACAACTTGCAATACCATACATCTTTGAGGACAGACAACTTGCAATACAATACATCTTTGAGGACAGACAACTTGCAATATCAAACATCTTTGAGGACAGACAACTTGCAATACCATACATCTTTGAGGACAGACAACTTGCAATACCATACATCTTTGAGGACAGACAACTTGCAATACCATACATCTTTGAGGCCAGACAACTTGCAATACCATACATCTTTGAGGACAGACAACTTGCAATACCATACATCTTTGAGGACAGACAACTTGCAATACCATACATCTTTGAGGACAGACAACTTGCAATACCATACATCTTTGAGGACAGACAACTTGCAATACCATACATCTTTGAGGACAGACAACTTGCAATACCATACATCTTTGAGGACAGACAACTTGCAATACCATACATCTTTGAGGACAGACAACTTGCAATACCATACATCTTTGAGGACAGACAACTTACAATACCATACATCTTTGAGGACAAACAACTTGCAATACCATACATCTTTGAGGACAGACAACTTGCAATACCATACATCTTTGAGGACAGACAACTTGCAATACCATACATCTTTGAGGACAGACAACTTGCAATACCATACATCTTTGAGGACAGACAACTTGCAATACCATACATCTTTGAGGACAGACAACTTGCAATACCATACATCTTTGAGGACAGACAACTTGCAATACCATACATCTTTGAGGACAGACAACTTGCAATACCATACATCTTTGAGGACAGACAACTTGCAATACCATACATCTTTGAGGACAGACAACTTGCAATACCATACATCTTTGAGGACAGACAACTTGCAATACCATACATCTTTGAGGACAGACAACTTGCAATACCATACCTCTTTGAGGACAGACAACTTGCAATACCATACATCTTTGAGGACAGACAACTTGCAA